ACGATCAGATGGATGATAGTCAGAGCTCTAAGGAAGCAAAAGTACACGGTCATTGTCTCCCAACAGATAGACGACGTTTCATTGACGTGAAAGTAGTCGGTTCATACTTTGCGAAACTGAAGAAGGCTAGAACCGGGAAGAGCGGAAGAGCGTGAATGGAACCTCTAACTAGCACGTGTACACGTAAAATGAGCTCCGATTATACGGCCGCAAAACTGATTCTCACTCTAGGTGTTCAATTACTTCTGCCAAACGAGGTTGTTAGATGAAACCTTTTATTGTCCTAACGTTCCGACCTTCTCGTCTTCACAGGCCTGAAGTGGCTCGAAGCTTTGGATTCTTTACCCACCCGAAAAGCCCCCTCTAGCGTTTCCGCCCTCAATTCCCGAACGCTTCATAACAATCCGGCAATGAGTGCTAACAACGCAACGAAGGTCTCACCGTGCGGAGAATAGCTCACGCTGTGTGTCAGTAGAATTAGTAAGGACGAATGAGGCTCACTTGTGTCTCATGGTGTCGCATAAGTCAAAATTGTCATAGCGCACGTAGTCCTTACTGTAGCTCGCACTCTGATACAAACGGCAGGAATTCATTTGTAATAGACCAGACACTCGTTTCGGTTGTTCATTCTTGGTTTTCTCGCGAAAATCCAGAATGACTTCCAGAACTTTCCTAGCTGAAGTTTCCGTCTCGTACGCCAGTATAACATTTAACATCAAAGTCGTTCCCGTTAAGCACCGTTCAGACTTCGCGACGGCAGCGCTTCGGTTGCGCGATCGATGCGCATGCTTTCGACTGCATCGATCGCGTCGAACGCGCGACCGAAGCGCTGCCGTCGCGAAGTCTGAACGCTGCCTTATGCTGCTCAATCTAATTCTACTGACACACAGCGTGAGCTAAGCTCCGCACGGTGAGACCTTCGGTGAGTTGTTAGCACTCATTGCCGGGTTGTTCGGAAGCGTTCGGGAAACGAGGTCGGAAACGCTAGAGTGGGGAGGGCGTTTGGTCGGGTAGGTAACAAATTAAAAGCTTCGAGCCATTTTCAGGCCTCTGAAGAAGACGAGAAGGTCGAAACGTAAGGCCAATAAAGGTGTCATCTAAAAACCTCGTTTGGCAGAAGTAACTGAATATTCGACATCATGCCGAGGTTACAAGAAGGGACGACGTGGAGATCATTGGACAACATTCTCATTTGAGTATCATTTTCTAACAGGCGGTCTCAACGTTGTAAACAATCTTGAAGACAGACTGCACCCACCTCAAAAGACAGTCCTTTCCATGTGTGAGGAGAATGGATCCTCAGTCGCAGCAGCATACGGGTACCCTTCCCACGCTCAACCAGCTACATCCTCATTTTGCATCATTGGGTCGATACCGAGATCTCTCAACCCACACTGAGAGGTATAGAACAAGCAGAAATGAGAAGATGCAGAAAAATAACGAGTTTGGTTTCGGAT